TATATATATATTTGTATATATATATAGATATACTATATATATAGAAAACATATATATATATATTTTTTTTTTTTTCATTGAAATGATATACACTCTTTGATAAAAAGAATTATAGTTCTAGACATTTGGGAGCATTGTTTTCTTAATAACGGTAATCGATGCGTAGAATTTTTTTCGCAAATCTTGTGAATCCTCTCGAGAGGATTCGAAATAGTTTTATGGCATTTTGCCATATTTGTTACCATTTCTAAGATAATGGTTTGAGATAAGGGCCACCTTGTCTAGATCTATGCATAACTTTTTTTATAATGTAATATTTCTAATAATTTTTTTTCTGGATAATTCTAATCAGGTCTAGTGAGTTATGATATGCTGAACTTTTTTTCATTTAAGAATAAATAAAGTAATAAAAAAAAGAACAATTTATTGATATTTCTTTATAAATTTCTTTATAAATATTTCGTTTTTTTCTCTTGTATTAATCATTTCTATTGCGATTTTTCAAAAACGAAACCGGATAATTATTTACACTGTCTTATCACTTCTTGTACTCGTTACTATGACAATTCGGTATTCATTCGCTTTATACGTGGGTAATTAAGAAGCTAACAAAACCAGATTCGCTACCAGATAAATCCATTCATTACTCTACAGGAACGGACAATCGAGAGTAAAATCCTCGTTAATGACCTCATAAATACTTAAGTTGTATATATAATATAACGTTACGATTCATGCAGAATATTAGAATCTGATTGATTGCGAAAGTAGTTCAAGCCATAAAATATTAAAATAGCAACTTCATATGACAGGCAGCACTTACTTATAATCAAATTTGCATCATTGCAGATTTATGTTTTTACACGACGTAAAATATAGTGTATACCTTAACTGATATTTTATTAAACAGATATGGATCATTAAATTGAAAAAAAAAGGTATTTGATATCTGTGATTATAATTACATAGTGAAATAATTATGGTTAAAAGCTCTATTTTTATGGTTACTACTATAATGTAATAAATAAATTAATAACTATATATGTATAGTTTTCTCAAATATAGAAAAGTTGTTCTATAAATATAGAAAAGTTGTTCTATAAATTATAATAATTTCAAATATTAATATAATAAAATATTAAATATTAATAATGAATAAAATAAATACTTTTATATGGTAATGCAATCGTAATTATAGCGAAGAGAACTATTTTTTTAACATTTGCTAATTATTTACAATGGTAATAATAACTAAGAGATATGTTAGATATTAAAGAAATAATTCTTTTTAAACAGTGTGTGTGACTGTATTAATAGTACATTTAACTATATTTTTAACGAAAAATTTTCAATTTGTATTATAAAAATTGAAAAAAAAATTGTAAAAATAATTATTTACATTAAATACACGGGACCATAGCAACAGTACATTTGACTACATATATAAATAAAAATTTACATTTTCTTGAAAAAAAGAAGAATTACAGAAAGTTGATTGAGAATAATATTAAATTGTAATATAAAATTATAATATATAAAATTATAATAAGGATACAAATTTCACTATATTTTAAATTACTGTAAGTTTTAGCTCCTGCTATATTATCAATTCTTGTTTATATCTTTCTAGAACACAATAAACTGAATATATACAGGGTGTCCCATTTAAACTTTTACATCAAAATATCTCGAAATGTACAAAAGATACGAAAAAAAGTCAAACAAAAGTCGTATGGTTTAAAAGGGGATATAAGAAGATATCATTAATTTGATTTTGATTGGCAATGTTAAGGTCAAATCAAGGTCACTTTGAATTTTTTAAATAGAATCCCCCTTTTTTCATTACACATTTTCATAGTTTATCTCAAGATTTTTTAAAAATATTTTAATAAAATTATTTTTTATTAAGAACTTTTTTAGTTATAAGGAAAGAGTTGCAGTACTATCATTGTTAACATTACCTAGGGTATCTAACCGACGACTAAAACCTTTTGAATGTTGTTCAGAATCATAATAAAAATTCATTTTTATGTAAAAATGAAAATAAGAGGAACATTCTCCAATGGCGTTGATTTTGACAAATATTATCATAATCCTGAATAACATTTAAGAGGTGTTAGTCGTCAGTCGGACAGCTTGAGTAATATTGACGTCGGTAATACTTCCAAGAGAGAGCCTTATATCTCGAAAAATTCTTAATGAGAAACAATTTTATTAGAATATTTTAAAAGGTCTTGAGATAAGCTAAGAGAAAATTATAATGAAAAATAAGGGACCTTATTTAAAAAATTCAAAGTGACCTTGACATGATCTTATGGCGCTGACGTATCAAATCAATCATACGAGGGCAAGTCAATAAGTTTTTAGAAAAACATAATAAAACATTTTTTTTTATCGATTCATTTTTATTTCTCAACATACAAGTAGTCTCCTTTCAGCTCGATACACTTGATCCAACGATTCTCCAACTTTTTCAAGCCGTCCGAATAATATGATTTGTTCAACCCTTCAAAATAAGCCTCTGTTTCGGCGATGAGCTGCTCTCTGGTGGTGAATCTCTTTCCTCCGAACTATTTCTTCAGATTTGGAAACAGGAAATAGTCACAGGAGGCTAAATCTGGCGAATGTGCTGGATGGGGAAGCAATTCGTAGCAGAATTCGTTGAATTTGGTCATCGGTGCCAGGCACGTGTGAACCCGCGCATTGTCTTGATGAAAGAGCACTTTCTTCTTTACCAAATGGGGACGTTTTTCTTTAAAATGTTGTTGAAACGGTCCAATAAGGCTGCATAGTGATCGCCATTAATCGTTTGCTTTGACGGAAGGTAATCAATATGAATTATACCGCGTGCATCCCAAAAAACTGTAGCCATCACCTTTCCAGCCGACTTCACGGTCTTCGCCTTTTTCGGAGCTGGTTCATCCGATGATGGTTCATTGTTTTGACTGTTCTTTCATCTCGGGTGTGAAATAATGGATCCATGTTTCGTCCACAGTAATGAATCGACACAGAAATTCATCTGAATTACGTTGAAACATCTCCAAACATTGTTTTGAAATCGTCACACAGTCGCGCTTATGGTCCATAGTGAGCAAACGCGGCACCCATCTTGCCGATAGCTTTTTCATACTCAATTGTTCGTGCAAAATTGAAATCACTGTGCCATATAATATGCCTGTGGCCTCAACAAGCTCGCGCACTTTCACTCGTCGATCAGTCAAAACAATATCGTAAACTTGATCGATGATTTCTGGCGTAGCAGCCTCAATTGGACGTCCCGAACGAGATGCATCATATGTGGATGTACGACTACGTTTAAATTCATTCACCCAATTGTATACAGCCGCAAACGCTTGCAGATGTACTATGAACATTATCCAACTCGACTTTGATTTCTTTCGGCGTTAAACCTTTTATATGTAGATGTTTGATCACTGCACGAAACTCATTTTTTTCCATTTTGCAAAAAATATAAAAGTTGTTCCCTTTAATAGCCTACAGAAATGAAACCACGCGATGAATTCCGCTGAAAATTTGACAGTAATCAGCTGAAAGATGCTACTTGTCAAAAAGTAATGTGACATGACACTGTGAATGCCCTCTGACAGATTTTCTAAGAACTTATTGACTTTCCCTCGTACCTCGTTCGAACCTGATAATTTTTATTTGAAACATTTTTTTGTATTTTTTATGTATTTTGAGATACTCGTATTTCAATGCAAAGGCTGAAATGGGACATCTTGTATACTTACAATGTCATAATCATTATTTAATCATGATTGATCTTAAGAATTTTTTATTAAAGTCACCCACTTACGAATAGTACGCGGCACTGTTATCAGAGGGATGCAGTGGAGTTCAATTTCTCCTGAAAAGAAAATCACTCAACATATTATACAATAATAAAAGGCGCATTGGGTTCGAAAAAGAAAGTAAATGAGATACATCTCAACAGTTTTTAGTTCTATATAAAAATTTAGCAACTCTTTTCCTGGACGAGTTAGCAGTACGTATAGAAATTTTAGGATAAATAGCGCCACAACTGTATTATAAAATTTTAATAAGAGCAATACATAAATTAAATTAATTAAGAAAGTATTTTAACATTATTTGTAGTAAATGGTTAATGTTATTATATTTTCTTAGTTTATATAGCTTATTTATTGTTAACTTATTATAATATATAGTTAAGGCACTGTTTGTCCTTAAATTTTTATTTGTTGATATGACTTTTTTCTTTAAATATAATTATATACATAAAAAAATAAAATATTGTTAATATGGTTTGCTATGAGAAGCAACAAGTAAATTAATGATAATGTTACCGAAATTCGTACACGTATGTATTGACTAGACATCTTCTCCTTTACGGCGGAGGGTGTGAATCGATAGAGGGGTACCTATTGAACCCGTTGCAAGAAGCCTAGCATCCACAATCAAATGGGAGGCTCTTTCAGGGAGA